TACGTAATACTGCCGGATGAATGGACATATTGCTACCCACGAAAGTACATTCATGTCCCACCGTGTTATCTTTTCATTCCTTAAAACCCAACCCTACCCGTGATTTCTCTTCATTTTTATATTAATTATTGGAAGGATATTTTTTTGATCGAAATTATTGGAAGGATTTTATTCGTGAGTGCTTTGAAAGTACTTGCTAAACACCCAATCGAAATTTTACGATTTTCAATGTACAAACGGTTCTTGTGTCGTGCGAAGTCAATATTGATTTGATTATTACGAATGGCATATGCCGAATGAATACCCTCAAAGACACTTGTCACGAAGACCTCCATGGAATTGTCCGGTTGTTCAAAGTTGCAATGCCAGGTCATCTCCACGTCAGATGCAAATCCGGACTCCTCTATCCTCTCAAACGACGTCGCATAAAGGCATCATCCTCACCGCTGCCCGTCCCGACTCCAAAGACAAGACGCCGTTGACTCATCACTTTCTCTTTCCGACTAATGGCGTTGCTGATCCTCCATGGTCGAACCTCCTCGCTCCTCCAGGCGAGGCTCTTCTCCCATTCGCCGGAGGCAGAGTCGGCGAAGCGGCGGGCCTCGGAGTCGAAGCCCGTCGAGAAGATACTGGTGGCGAACGGAGGCGAGATAGTTTGCAGGATCATGAGGACGGTGAGGAGGCTGGGGATTCGAACCGTCGCCGTCTACAGCGACGCCGACGCCGGCGCTCTCCACGTCAGGTCCGCCGACGACGCCGTCCGCATCGGTCCCGCTCCGGCTCGCCTCAGTTACCTCTGCGGAGCGTCCATCATCGACGCCGCGCTTCGTGCCGGTGCTCAGGTGAGGAGGGGTCGAGAACTAACTACCTGCTGTTTGAAACGCGCGTGATCGCTGCGATTTGGAGGATGCGGGATTTGGCATGCGGCATGGCGGCGTGTTTGATTCTGGTTTGTGAGAAATGGTCGTGTTCGCCGGGGCACAGTATTGGAGCTCAGTAATTCCCATTTAGTGTTGCCTCTGTGAACTTTACTGCTACTCTACCACATTGTGAATTTTAGATAGGACGATGAAATTATATGCGCAATCTTGAGCACCGGTGTTAAGAAAGAGCAGTATAAGTGAGTCGGGTTTAAGTAAGTTGTGAACCCATTTAATATTCATATTATTTTGAGCTTTATTGCTCTAAACTCATTTACTGAACATAATTAAGCCCATGTAACAACTTAGCTCCTTTTATATAGATTAAGAAATTGGTGTATAATCCATATCGGCAGGTTCAATGGTGGGAGATAAGTAGATGTCAAGTCAATCGTTGATCACTTCTTGTCCTGTTGTGCATTTGCAAAAGTTCATCATTTCAACTTTGATACGATGTATTCAACATCTTTCCTTATACTACGAGATTTGCTCATTGAATCCCTTTTTATTTTGATCCAAATAATGAAGAAGTTATCAAATCCAATATTTAAGCAAAATAAAGCTCAGTCGTAATTAATTGATAGTAAGAAAGATAGTCGATACCACCTTTTGTAATTGGATCAATTCTTCGACTGGTCATGAAGTAACATTTCGTGCTATCTCAAATAATGTCAAACAAATATTTGAGAATTGCATTTTTTATACAACAATAACTAAAAAGAATATTTTTATGACTCTGGGCAGCTACACGATTTAACATATTATCGGTACACTCCCAACCATTGCGACCCAACCTCCATAAACATCATGCTTCATTAGTCCAAGTCACCGAAATTCGGACCACAACCTCGTTAGCCATTTATGTGGTCATGCTGTTGCTGAGGCCGAGCCATCACCATAATCCTAGGTCGCCGATGCCATGCCACAACCGTCGTTGATTGAACCCTATATGGGCTTGCTTCACATAGGCCTCACAAGCCTATCGCAATTAATTTTGCTAAAATATGGTGCACCTGTTATTATAGTGACGAGGCACTATTAATTTAACTAAAATTAAGTCTCCGCTACCCCAGATTTATGGTATAACATCATATACTGTTCAAATGAGCAATGTTTTTTTGGCTCCAAAACAAGCAATTGGTTTCTATAAGCATTACATAAAATATACATATATATGTTGAGACAAAATCATAAGTATAACTTAAAGTATCGAACGTTGTAAGACGTCTTCTATCTGCACGGGCTCATCATTGGCAAGAGATAGTCGTTTATGCATAGTTCCTTTTTTATTATTGCCATTAAGTAAATTTGACTTTAAGTTCTATGTAATTATCGATCGAATTATTTTAATCATTACGTTTTACTTACTCATGTTGTGTGAATTTCGTTATTTGGTGACATTATCTTTGTTCATTAAGGTTTCCTCCGCATTATAAGTAATCTATCTTTTTCAACTCAGGAAAACTATATGCTAAAGCTCATTGACTTCTCGATTGTCAAGGTTTTAAGCTAATATACTAAATATTGATGTACCCTGAAATAACTGAATTAGAAAGTTCTTTAAAAAAAGAAATCTACTCACAAGTTCACATAAAAATAATATGTAGTGATTTGGTTAATTCGTCAACAATATCTTCTAATTATTATATGCATAATGAGTTTAATTAGGTGGTGTAGAAACATGTGTTTTTTTTTTTTTATGTCGAAAGAAAATTATATGTATTGCTCAAAGTGGGTACAAGCACCAAGAACTTGCTTCTGCATTTCCACTCCTATTTGATCTTTCTTTAATTTTCCTACAGTTTAGTGGGTCAAATAATTCAGCCCAAAAGTCTACTTCAACTTCAACGAGGGGGTCATCTTCTTCCCGTCTTCTTGCTGCCTTCTTTCCACTCATTTTCTCTCGCTCTAACTTTTTGAGTTTCTCGGCCATCTTTTTCGTACCAGTTTGCATCGAGATTCCCTTTACTACAAGTCTACAGGGTGTTTCCTCATCTTTATCAAGAACAATCAGTGACGTCGCTTTATCTTTTCGTCTTGTCTAAAGTATTCTTCACACGTCTTTTTGGGCAAAAAGTCATCATCATGCGTTTGCTTCGGTGCTCACACTCCTTTGAGCTTCAACATTTCTCGAGATAAGGGATCCACAAGGGAAGATTCCTCTGTGCCTTCTTTCTACCCTCGTGAACGTGAGTGTGATCCAACGGGATGGACCGACAATATCTCGTAATCCTCGAATCAAATCGAGCCGACAGAGCCAACCTTCTTAATCTCTCTTTTTTGTTTTTTTTTTTTTCATTTCTTCTTCCTTTTGTCGATGGTCAGCCACCGACCATGATCGAGTCGGTTGGCTTGCGCCTGGGTGAGGGTGAGCCCCTTGGTGAGGGGATCCCTCACCTAGGCGAGGGTTAGCCTTGCCCAAGTTAAGGCGGCCTCGCCGGGCGTCGCTCAAGTGAAGGTGATGTTGGGCACCAAATCTGGCCTGGGTGAGACCGACCCTTGTCGAGCCTTGCTTGGGTGAGGGCTCTACTCGCCGAGGGTTGCCCTCGCCTGATCGGGCCTTGCCTGTGGCGGGTGACGCTAGCCCGCTTGGCCATCGGTAATGGGAAGAAGAAAGGAAAAAAAAAATTCAAAAAAAATATTAAAATATTATTAAAATTATCAATGCTAGCACTGATTGTGCCACTTAAGACAGTTGGCATCCACATCAGTAAATTCCGACCAAAATCGCCTATGATTAGCCATCGTTGTTGTGGTCATGCTGTTGTCGAGCCCGAGCCATGCATCACCACAATCCTAGGTTGCCGATGCCCTGTCGCGATCATTGTTGATTGAACCCCATGTAGGCTTGCTTTGCATAGGCCCCGCAAGCTTATCACAATTAATTTTGCTAAAATATGGTGCACTTGAAATTATAGTGACGAGGCACTATTACTTTAGCTAAAATTAAGTCGTTGCTCCCATACATGTATATGGTAGAACAACATATACTGTTCAAACCAGCAATTTTTTTTTGGGTCGAAAACAAGCAATTGATTTCTGTAAGTACTACATCAAAAAAAGAAAAAAGTTGAGACAAAATCATAGGTATACCCTAAAGTCAAAAATCAAACGTTGTAAGACGTCTTTTATCTGCACGGGTTCATCATTGGCAAGAGAGAGTCGTTTATTGATCGCTCCTTTTTACAATAGTCATTAAGCAAATTTGACTTTAAATTCTATGTATTTATTGATCGAATTATTTTAATCATTGCATTTTACTTATTTTTGCGATTTGGATTTCCTTATTTGGCGGAATTATCTTTGTTTGTTAAGCTTTCCTCCGCATTATAAGGAATCTATCTATTTCAACTCTGGAAAAGCTATTTGTGAAAGCTCATTGACTTCTCTATTGTCAATGTTTTAAACTAATATTCTAAATATGGATGTATCTTGAAATAACTTAATATCGAAATAGAAAGTCCTTTGAAAAAAGTAATTTCCTCATAAGTAAAAAATAAAAATAATGTGCAGGGATTTTGGTTAATTCATCAATAATATCTTCTAATGATTATATGTATAATGATATGACAAAAAAAAAGATTATATTTATAATGAGTTTGATTAGGTCGGGCAGAATAAGGTGCTTGCGTGCACGAGCTGTTTCCGTAGATATGACTAATGGCAGTCAAGGTTGCACACTTGCTATTTCATCTTTCTTGGAAATATCTTGGGCAACTTCCACGAAAGAAAGTCACATTGAACCCGAAATTGTCCAGCAAAGTGGGTAGAATTACCAAGAACCTGCTTCTGCATTTCAGCTCCTATTTCATCTTTCTTTTATTTCTTCCTCCAGTCTAGTCATGATAAGTGATTCACCCCAAAATTGTCCTTCAGCGAAGGGGGTCATCTTCCCGCCTTCTTCCCTCTCATATTCCCTCGCTCTTAACTTTTTTTGAGTTTCTCAACCATCTTTTTCGTACCAGTTTGCGCGAAGATTCCCTATTGAAAATCTGCAAGGTGTACTCTCATCCTTATCAAGAACAGCGAGAGATCCCGCTTCATCTTTCCATCCCTCTTCCATTAACGCAAACCGTATTCTTCACACGTCTTTTGAGGCAAAAAGCCATCCTCACGCGTTTTTTTTTCTTTGGTGCTCGTACTCCTTTTAAGCTTCGACATTCTAGATATAAGGGATCCATTAAGGGAAGATCCCTCTACACGTTCGTTCTAGCCTCCTGAATGTGAGCGAGATCCAAAGGGATAGGCTGATAATATTTCGTAACCCCGGAATCAAATCGAGTCAACAGAGCCAATCTTCTTAATCTCTCTTTCTTGTTTTTGTCCCCAAGTTCCTGATATATGGCCTCTTCCAAAAGGATTTACCATGTGTTCCTTAGTTTTAGAGGCCCAGACGTCCGCAACAATTTCCTTAGTCATCTCTACGCGGCTCTGGATCAGAAAGGGATACACACTTTTGTGGATGACGAGGAGCTCGGGAAAGGAGAGCAAATATCGCCGACCCTTATGAGGGCGATCGAGGAATCGCGCATCGCCATCATCATTTTCTCCGAGGACTACGCTTCCTCGCGGTGGTGTTTGGAAGAGCTGGCGACGATCATGGAATGCAAGGCACAGAAGGAGCTGATTGTGCTGCCGGTGTTTTACAAAGTGGAACCAAGAGAAGTGAGAGAGGGGAGAGAGGCTTATGGGAGAGCTATGGCTAAGCATGAGTTCAAGTTCGGGAAGGATTCGGAAACAGTGAAAAGATGGAAGAAGGCTCTTTTCGATGCCGGTAACTTGTCTGGGTGGGATTTTAACGATGGGTAAGTAAGTAATTGACGTGACGCAATGCTTTGTCCTTGTTAGCTAGTGATTGTTTGTTATATTTCAAACCGTATGGAATAAACTACCACTGAAAGCTGATTGATATTGTCAAGTCGGTCTTTCGATTGAAGATACATAGCGGAGATATACTAGACAGCAGATTCAAAATTCGAATAACCAAAACTTCAAGCTAGCAGATTCTTTGAATTCGATTCTTGCCGTGCGGATAATGAGAACTTTTTGTCTTCGATGAAAGTGTAATTAATAGTTCCTTAGTCATTATTGTCTTCAGGCGCAGGTTCATCTTAATTTTCCCTTGGGCAGAAGATGTTGGGGCAGGTTCACTAGATGTGTTAATTTCTTTTCGTCTTATTATTTGCTCACCTTCTTATGTCATTTTCGTCTTGACGTTAGAGGTTGAATTCTTGCCATGGCTTTGAAATGCTAAAACATGTTTTCTCTTTCTTTTGAGTGCTTATCAGAGATGAAGCGGAGCTCATACAACGCATTGTAAAGGATGTATCAAGTCGTCTAGAGCGAAGACCCTTACATGTTGCTGATCATCCGGTCGGAATAGATTCCCGAGTTCAAGAAGTGATATCATTGTCGCAAAAAGAGTCGGATGATGATGATGTTCTCATGATAGGTATATGGGGACTTGGAGGCATAGGGAAGACGACGATTGCTAAAGCGATATATAATGCTATTGAGAGCCAGTTTCAGGGATCTAGTTTTTTGGCGCAAGTTAAAGAGGCTTCAAACAAAAGCAGTGGCCTAGTTGGTTTGCAAGAAAAACTTCTATCCGAGATCTTATCTCCTAGACATCTAACGGTCAATAGTGTCGATGGAGGAATTAGTTTGATAAGGGAAAGACTTTGTCGCAAGAAGGTTCTCCTAGTTCTTGATGATGTTGACCAATTGGATCAACTGAAGGCATTAGCTGGAGGCGATTGGTTTGGAAAAGGAAGTAGAATCTTTGTAACATCGAGGGATAAGCATTTGCTAAATTCTCATGACATAAAGTGTGTGCATGAAGTTAAAACTTTAGACAATGATGAGGCACTAGACCTTTTTGTTTGGCATGCCTTTAAAAACAGCAAAAAACCTGAAATAAGAAAGGATCTCATAGATGGAGCACTACATTATGCTAGCGGCCTTCCATTAGCCCTCGAAGTGTTGGGCTCATTATTATATGGAAGAAACGAACCAGCATGGGAAAGTGCGCTGCGTAAACTCTCCAGGAGTCTCGACAAAGGTATCGATCGAGTTTTGAAGATAAGCTTCGATGGATTGGATGACAATGAGAGGGAGATTTTCCTCGACATTGCTTGTTTCTTTAAGGGAAAAAGAATAGAATACATCAAGGAAGTTCTCGACGGCTGTGACTTGGAGAGAGAGACAACTATAGGAATAGATATTCTCATCGAGAGGTCCCTGATAAGAAATGAGTATGGGACCCTGCAAATGCATGATTTGGTTCAGTTGATGGGGAAGAAAATTGTTAAGCAGGAATGTCCCAATAATCCTGAGAAACGCAGTAGATTATGGCTTTTTGAAGATGTTCGGGACATTCTATGGGAAGATACGGTAAAAGTTGTTTATGTAAACATTGTTATATCTCATTTTTATGTTACTTTGATTTGGATAGTATATTATAAATGTCAATGGAAATTTTGTGTGAGAACTGAATTTGCTCTCTTATGGATAGGGAACGGATGCAGTACAGGCCATAGTATTGGACTTGCCCACACCAGAAGAGAGAAGTATGAGTCTTGAAGAGATAACCATAAAGGTGGATGCTTTTAGAAACATGAAAATGTTGAAAATGCTCATTCTGCCTAAAGTGCATATCTCTTCGGAAGGTCCCGTCCGTCTCCCCAATAATCTGAGATGGCTTAAATGGCCCAATGCCCCATTACTAGAATTTGGCTCTAAACTTATTAGAATTGATGTCCCAAAAAGTCATATCAGAGGTTTAGAAGGCAAAATTAAGGTTAGCGCTTGTGATGATTAGCTTTTCTCTTTTTATAACTACAAATATTTACGGAGCTTAATGACTGTACTGATAATTTTTTTTTTGCAGCATTTTACAAAATTGAAGTACATCAATTTCAGTCAATGCAAGTCGCTGGTTAGTGTTCCTGACTTTTCATCGGCTCCAAATTTGGAGAGCTTGTATCTTGATAGGTGTAAAAGCTTGGTGGAGGTTCACCAATCCGTCGCATATCTCGACAATTTAAAATTTTTGTCACTACAGTTTTGCTCTAACCTCAGTGTCTTTCCTAACACACTCAAGACAAAATCTCTTCAAGCCCTTGATCTCTTTGGTTGCTCTAAACTCGAGAAGTTCTCTGATGTACCGGGAAAGTTGGAACATCTAGAAGAGCTTGATCTAGGAAGGACGGCTATTAAAGAACTCCCCGCATCACTTGAAAATCTTCTCTCTTTGAAGAAATTAAATTTAATAAAATGCAAAAAACTCGCAACGCTCCCATCATGTGTTTATAAGTGGCAAAATCTTGAGTATTTGAATCTTTTAGGCTGCTCCAATTTTATCACGTTCCCAGAGAACTTGGAGGATTCAAACAATCCTAACGGCAATATGGGATTCCGAAAATTAAAATGGCTAAAACTTAATGGCTGCAATCTCTCAGAAGTAGGGTTCCTTGAGAGTTCTTCTAGTTTTCCCAAATTAGGGCACCTAGATCTTTCCAAAAACAAGTTTACTCATCTGCCGACATGCATCAACGAATACAAATATTTGGAACACTTGTATGTGGATGATTGCAAACAGATACAAAAGATTCCTCAGCTTCCGCCAAATGTGCATGTCCTTTCGGCAAATCGTTGCAGATCTCTACGAGAATTCCCAGATTTGTCGAGTCTCACCTCCGACTGCTATTCGGTTGAATTGTCATCAAGTCATAAATTCTTCCGCGAAGGGGCAAATATGGCTCATGCGTTATCGCTCGAGGTTAGACTCTCTCTCTCTCTCTCGCGCACTAACTTTGAGTGCTTGATATGCGTACTATTTGTATGACAGGGGCTCCGGAAGATGAGAAATGTTGACATTCGCCTAATTGGGAAAGAGATGCCAGAATGGTTCTTTCCCGGTGAAGACAGTTCCATTGCTTTCACGGTTCCCCGGGACTTGTATGACAATTTCTTAGGACTAGCACGCTGTTTTGTTCTTGGCCCAAAGGGAGGAAAAGCGGTTAGTGGTTTTGCTGGAGTCCGAATTCATGTTAACGACCACATGCTGACTGCCTTTTGGAAAGGCGTGCGTTCAATGGACTCCGATCATGTGTGGATGGGATATTTCCCGCGCAGTACGCTGTGGGTAGGAAGGAAGCGTCTGCGAGACGATTGCTGCCATATCCAAGTTAACTTCGTACCAGAAACCGAAGTAGAATTGAAGAAGTGTGGATTCCGTCCAATATACGAGCAACAGGAGGATGATCAGAGGATCGTGCTCCAACCCCATCAGCCGATGAAAACAAATTGGCCTTCGGAAAGAGACTCAGATGAAGACGATTGGATAGACACCGAGGAAGAAGAAAGTTCAAGTGAATCAGATGATGAACTTATCGAAGCAATCGACCGAGAAAAAGAAAAACAAGGACTTTTCAAAGCAGATAAGATCGGGCCTTCGGAGGAAAGAGACTCAGAGGAAGACAATTGGATAGACACCGAGGAAGAAGAAAGTTCAAGTGAAGAAGATGACGAACTTATCAAACCAATCGACGATGGAAAAGAAGACACAGCACTTTACGAAGCAGATAAGCTCGACGACGGTGGACCATGTGAATGTAAAGCTACAGGAGGTCTCTGTCGAAGTTTAAAGACCTTGACAAGGGATCGATTCTTGCGGAGACGGATATACTGATTCCAATGCCTTTTGCATTTCCCTCTTTTTTTTTTTTACGTCTCTACTGGAAGTTTTTGAATGTCCGCTCCTTCAATTCAATTTCAGAATCATTATGAAGTACAGGTTTCACGACATGCTACTGACATGGTTGAGGTTGAGGAGCTTCCTTTTTCCCTCTCTTTCTTTTATGATTTGTGATGCGGATTGCATTAATACAGAGTTAAGTGGATGCTTGTCGAATGGCCATGGTCTTTTCCAGTCGCTCTGTGAAGCTCATCGTATAGACCTCTGTCACCTCTCTTCATCCAATCAATGATGCCAACGCTTCATGCTCGATAATTCTGAGATCGCAAGTTTTGCTCATTCTAACGTGATCATCATCTTTAGGGAAGTGTCGATCTGATTGTGTCAAAGATCAGAAGACTAGTTGATTCCTCTGTTGTCACTAGGCAGATTGCATTCCCTCTCACTTTCATTACCATTAATCAGACACGTCACTTTAACATAGTTGTCGCATCAAAGTATCTTACCATGTTCGTATTAATTCTCAAGTTTCGACAACAGCCTTTTTTATTTTTTTTTGGACGGAGCGACAGAAGCTTTAAGTAGCTGAAATCTTGTACACCGAAAGACAACTCCATACAAATCTAAAGTAGCAATGTCACACACCAGTCCCTCTAGTGGAATATTGTTGCTGCAGAATACCAGAAAGTATATTTACGTCCCGGGCATTATTTTTTCGTTCCTTAAAGCCCGATACTTTTCCTCATTTCTCTTCATTTTTATCTTAATTATTGGAATTAATTTGTTAACGGGTGTCCTAAGAGCTCTTGTTAAGTACCCAATCGACGAAATTTTATGGTATCTAATGCGCGGACCGTCCTCACCATAGGTCCATAACCCTGCCAAATAGGAAGTGAAGAGACATAAGCAAACCCAAAAGAAGAAGAAGAAGAAAGGATTTGACTTGTTGACTCGAGGGGGGGGGCAAGGCAGTGGAATTATCCTGTTCAAAGTTGCAATGCCATGTCATCTGCACGTCAGATGCAAATCCGAGCTCCCTCTATCCTCTCGGACGACGTCGCATAAAACCATCATCCTCATCGCTACCCGTCCCAAGCCAAGCCAAGCCAAGCCAAGCCAAGACGCCGTTGACTCATCAGTCTCTCTTCTCTCCCCCTCTGACTAATCATCATGCCTTCTTCAATGGCGCTGCTGATCCGCCGTCGCAGCCTCCATGGTCGAACCTCCTCGCTCCTCCAGGCGAGGCTCTTCTCCCGTTCGCCGGAGGCGGCGGCGGCTGCTGCGAAGCGACGGGCCTCGGAGCCGAAGCCCATCGAGAAGATACTGGTGGCGAACCGAGGCGAGATAGCTTGCAGGATCATGCGGACGGCGAGGAGGCTGGGGGTTCGGACCGTCGCCGTCTAAAGCGACGCCGACGCCGGCGCTCTCCATGTCGGGTCCGCCGACGAGGCCGCCTGCATCGGCCCCGCTCCGGCTCGCCTCGGTTACCTCGGTGGGGCGTCCATCATCGACGCCGCGCTTCGCACCGGTGCTCAGGTGAGGGGTTGAGAACTAACTAACCTGCTGGTTGAAACGCGTGTAATCGCTGGTGTTGGAGGACGCGGGATTTCGCATGTGGCATGTTTGATACTGGTTTGTGAGCAATGATCGTGTTCGTTAGAGCAATGGTTGTTGTGACACCTAAAAAATAGGGAGTAACTGTCGATGCCACTCCTCCACTACTTTAGTGCGTACAACCACCCCTCTACTTCTTTGGGAACGTATGAAGGAGAGAGAGACAGAAAGGGAACATTTAAGAGTTAACGTGCTCTTGGTTATTCCTCTGTTTTTTCTCTACGTTCTGGGTGAAATAGAACTTGGGGGTCTGGGTTATCTCTTGTAAGGGAATCTTGGGTGTGCAGTATCTCTGTGATTGTGAGAGTTGTACTAAGAAAAGATTCACGGTTGAGAGTGCGACCCACTGTTTGGTGTTTGTCGGGTTGAGGGGTGTGCGTTGTAATTTCTCCTGTTATACAAGTGAGTTCCGTGTGCTTGCCCCGTGGATGTAGACAGACTTATCTGTCGAACCACGTAAATTTGTGATCTCCTTTTTATTTTGCTGCACTTGTTTTGCTTATCACTTCGTGCAACGTACGTACCGATTACGTGAGGTGAATTAGCGCAACAATTGGTATCAGAGCCGACGGTTTGAGAAGCCTGTGCTGCACGTGATCGACGTCAACGTACGTGTTTTAGCTTTGTGCGATGGCTGCATCAACTTCTACAAAGTTCGAGGTGCCAAAATTCAACGGATCCAACTATCCATTGTGGAAGCTGAAAATGCAAGCGGTGCTGGTGAAAGATGGTTGTGCAGTTGCTCTTGCCGGTAAAGACGAAAAGCCGACAGAGATGAAAGATGAGGATTTTGCACAGAAAGATCAAATGGCAATGGCGGATCTACTTTTGGCGTTAGATGATTCTGTCCTCTTCAATGTCTCTGAAGAAACCACCGCCAAAGGCTTATGGGAGAAATTGAAGAATCTCTACGAAGGGAAAACAATGTCAAACAAAATTTTTCTTCGTCGGCAATTATACAGTTTAAAGATGAAGGAAGGGTCCTCTTTCCAAGAGCACCTGAACAGGTTCAACACCCTATTGAGCAAATTGATTTCCATCGGCGTCAAAATCGAGGACGACGAGAAGGTAACACTTCTTCTATGTTCGATGCCTGATACATGGGATTCCTTGATCATGAGTCTCAGTACTGGAGCGGATCTTGACATGGATTCAACTATAGCTACGTTGCTGACGGAAGAGTCTCGTAGAAAAACTCTCGAGAGCACTTCTGGTAATGCTATGATGGCCAGAGGAAGATCCATGGACAAAGGTTTCAGTGGGAGAAAGAAGTCAAGGTCCATGTCAAAGAGGCGAACTTTGGGTCCTTGTTGGAAATGTGGACAAAAGGGTCACATGCGTAAAGATTGTAAATCCAAGGAGAATCAACAAAATCACAAATCTGATTCCCAAAATGCATCAACATCAACAAATTCCCAAGGAAACATCGTTGAAAATGCAGACTTACCTGAAGATGGCGAGGTGATGACTGCAGTTCCAATAAAGAGCGTGCAACATCAATGGATTTTGGATTCGGGCGCTTCTTTCCATATGACACCACATAGAGACTGGTTCCATACGTATCAGTTATGTGATGGAGGTACGGTATACATGGGCAATGATAACTCATGTCAAATCGTGGGGATTGGAGATGTTCGTGTTACCATGCTTGATGGCATCACGCGTACAATATCTGGTGTACGGCATGTACCAGATATGCGGAAAAGTTTACTGTCGCTGGGAAAGTTTGATGAAAATGGCTATAAATTATTCTGGAAAAGGGACGAGCTAAGATCGTCAAAGGAGCACTTATCGTGGCGAAAGGAGAATTAATAGGCGGTTTATACAGGCTAATTGGAGAGACCATAGTCAGTGAAGCCATAGTTGCAAATGCTGTGACAGAGTCGGCAACTATCTGGCACAGGCGTTTGGGACACATGAGCATGCAAGGACTGAAGGTACTTCTTGATCGCGGTCTTCTTCCTGGTTTAAAGACTATTAATTTAGAATTTTGTGAAGATTGCCGGTTTGGAAAGTTTCATAGAACTCCCTTTCGTCGTTCCACAGCAAGAAGTCAGAATATTTTAGACTTGATACATTCTGACATTTGGGAGTCTCCTGATGAGTCTTTGGGTGGTGCCAAGTACTTTATTTCATTTATCGATGATTTTTCCAGAAAAGTTTGGGTTTACATCCTTAAAAGGAAAAGTGATGCTTTTGCTTCTTTCAAGAAATTTAAAGCGTTGGTAGAAAATCAGAAAGGAACAAAAATAAGGTGTTTTAGAACCGATAATGGAGGAGAATATATGCTGCAAGAGTTCTTAGATTTTTGCAGTGAGCATGGCATTCAAAGACATTTCACGGTCCCCTAACTCCACAACAAAATGGAGTGGCCGAGCGTATGAATCGTACGCTAATGGATCGTACTCGAAGTATGTTGAGTTGTCTTGGTATGAAGCGAGTTTTTGGGCTGAAGCCGTATGTACGGCATGTTACATAGTGAATCGTTCCCCAACAACTGCTCTTAATGGACAGATTCCAGAAGAGGTATGGTCTGGAAAAACTGTTGACTATTCTTTCCTCCGTACTTTTGGTTGTGATACTTATATGTGGGTTCCTAAAGAGCAAAGGACAAAGCTTGAAGCGAGGTCCAGAAAGTGTATTTTTCTTGGCTATGCAGAAGGTGTAAAGGGGTACAGATTGTGGGATCCTACTACCCACAAAGTCGTTATTAGTCGAGATGTCGTCTTCAATGAAGATTCGTTACAAAAAGACAAAGAAACGCCAAATGCTGACTTGTCACAAATATTTGAACTTGAATCATCAACAGAAGTTCAAAATCAATTTGAAGAACATTTGACTGATACTGATGAAGCTAGTAGAGATGAAGCTGATAGAGAGCATACAGACAGAACTAGTAGTGAAACTCAGGGTGACTAAGGACCTCATAGGAGGACTACTAGACCTCCAGTTTGGCTAAATGATTATGTGACAACTTTCGCTTGCATAACTGAAGAGGGAGAGCCTTGTACATATCAAGAAGCTTGTGAGTCCAGTAATGCTCCTCAATGGAGGGCATCTATGGAGGAGGAAATGGAGGCTTTACACAAAAACAAAACCTGGGATCTTGTCAAGTTACCTGAAGGACGAAAGGCTATCGGTTCCAAGTGGGTCTACAAGTTGAAAAGAGACAATAACGGAAATATTGAACGATATAAATCTCGTTTAGTGGTGAAAGGTTATGCTCAGAAATCAGGTATCGATTTTAATGAAATTTTTTCTCCAGTTGTTCGTCTAACTACTATTCGTGCTGTGTTGAGTGTGGCACTGTGCTTGACTTAGAGCTTGAGCGATTGGATGTAAAAACAGCCTTTTGCATGGAAATCTTGATGAAGAAATTTTTATGACTCAACTTGAAGGCTTTATTGAAGAGAACAATAAGAGTTTGGTTTGTCGACTGAACAAATCGCTTTATGGCTTGAAGCAGGCGCCAAGATGCTGGTACAAGCGATTTGATTCTTTCATTATGAGTTTGGGGTTCAAAAGATGTGAAGCAGACCATTGTGCCTATGTTCGCAATCATGGTAATGGTGGCTTTATAATCTTGTTGTTGTATGTTGACGACATGATAGTTGCGGGTACTTCGAAAGAAGGTATTGCATACCTCAAAGCTCGTTTGGCTAGGGAATTCGATATGAAAGATCTGGGAGCCGTAAACCGAATTCTTGGGATGACCGTACTCAGAGATCGTGAAAATAGGAAGATCTGGATAACTCAAAAGAGCTATGTGGAAAAGGTTCTGCGACGCTTCAATATGCAGAACGCCAAACCAGTTAATACCCCACTTCTTATTGGTTGTAAACTGTCTTCTGAACAGAGTCCTAGCACAGAAGCAGAGAAGACAGAGATGGCTCGAGTACCGTATGCGTCGGCGATAGGGAGTCTTATGTTTGCCATGGTCCGCACTGACCGGACATTGCGCAAGCGATGGGAGCGATCGGCAAGTACATGGCGGCAAACCCGGGTCGAGATCATTGGACTGTGGTGAAATGGATCCTTCGGTACTTGAAGGGTACCTCTGATATGGCTATTCATTATAGTAGCCAAAATTTACAATCGGTTGGATTTGTAGATGCAGATTTTGCGGGAGATCGTGATAGACGAAGATCTACCACTGGGTACTGTTTCTCTTTAGCTAGTGGAGCAATTAGTTGGATGTCTAAGTTACAATCTGTGGTGGCATTATCTACTACAGAGGCTGAATACATCGCAGCAACAGATGCTTGTAAAGAAGGCATTTGGTTGAAGAGATTGCTTGATGAGCTAAGAATCAAACAGAAAGTCATCACTATTCATTGTGATAGTCAGAGTGCATTACATTTGGCCGTTAATCCAATGTTTCACTCTCGTACTAAACACATTGATGTCGGTACCATTTTATTCGTGATGTAGTGGAAGATGGAGTTATCTCTTTGCGAAAATTCACACCAACGACAACGTATCGATGTCTTGACGAAGCCTATTGCGAGAGAGAAGTTTTTATGGTGCAGAACTTCTCTTGGGCTTGTAGTTATCACTTGATTGGTGATGGTTGGGCAAATCGGAGCTGTGAAGCCTATTCGAGAATAGTCTTCAAGTGGGAGAATGTGACACCTAAAAAATAGGGAGTAACTGTCGATGCCACTCCTCCACTACTTTAGTGCGTACAACCACCCCTCTACTTCTTTGGGAACGTATGAAGGAGAGAGAGACAGAAAGGGAACAGTTAAGAGTTAACGTGCTCTTGGTTATTTCTCTGTTTTTTCTCTACGTTCTGGGTGAAATAGAACTTGGGGGTCTGGGTTATCTCTTGTAAGGGAATCTTGGGTGTGCAGTATCTCTGTGATTGTGAGAGTTGTACTAAGAAAAGATTCACGGTTGAGAGTGCGACCCACTGTTTGGTGTTTGTCGGGTTGAGGGGTGTGCGTTGTAATTTCTCCTGTTATACAAGTGAGTTCCGTGTGCTTGCCCCGTGGATGTAGACAGACTTATCTGTCGAACCACGTAAATTTGTGATCTCCTCTTTATTTTGCTGCACTTGTTTTGCTTATCACTTCGTGCAACGTACGTACCGATTACGTGAGGTGAATTAGCGCAACAGTTGTCAGCTTGGAATGAATGGAATTGGTGACGGTGGAGGAAACTTGTGAGATTGTGAGTTTCAAGTATCGAAGCTCAGTAATTCCCATTTAGTTTTGCCTCGGTGAACTTAGTGCTACTCTACGACATCGTGAGCTTTGGACGGATGATGAAATTATGTGCGCTATCCTGATGAATGCTGAGGGAGCATTTCTCTTTCTCAAATTGTTACCATGTGTCTGGACGAATTAACATTTCCCAATTGTTTCTTGCCTTTATGCGTGTTGCTCTAAATCCCAAGTTAGGTGGCCTTCTGTTGGCTGAGAGAGCGGTTGAAGGGTTATGGATATCTGCTCTGTATTAACTTAATCTCTGTTAATTCAGTAGATTGCAATTGCCTAATTTTTTAGTACGTGTGGGGCATGCTTTCAGCATGGCTGTCTTTTTTGATAACTAGGTTATCTACCCAGGATATGGTTTTCTGTCAGAGTCAGCTGAATTTGCTCAGCTCTGTGAAGAAAATGGCCTCGCTTTCATTGGTCCTCCTGCATCAGCTATTAGAGACGTGGGTGACAAAAGGTATGAAAGAGGAACCTTCTGCCAACGTATGTTCACTGTTTCGATGCTAATTAGGTCTGCTTAATTGGTTCCATGTGGGAGACAAGAATTCTGTATCTTTATTCTTTGAATGATAGTATATGCTTATCCAGTGCATCAAAAAAAGATAATGGGTTCTGCTGGGGTTCCGCTTGTGCCTGGATATCATGGTGATGAACAGGACATTGACTTTATGAGGTCGGAAGCAGAGAAGATCGGTTATCCCGTTATGATAAAACCAACACATGGAGGTGGGGGGAAGGTATGTTTCTTTCTCTGTCAAAGAGATCATCGATGCATCTAATGTTTTTAGAGATTTAGAATTTGACATCATATTCAAATGCATTTAGCTTTCCTTTTCTTTTCTTTTTCCTCGAGGCTGTTACTATGTCACAACTTATTGTTCACACATATAGGGTGTGAGGATTGTTCAAAGTGCAAATGAATTTGTCGAGTCCTTCTAAGGAGCACAACGTGAGGCTGCTGCTCCTTTTGGCGTAGACAAGATCTTACTGGAGAAATATATCACAAGGCTGAGACATATAGAAGTCCAGGTACCTATAATGCTGATAAAACAAAAAGTATTCAACAGAAAGCATTTGTTCTCTTTGTCGGTCATGTCCTTGAGCCTAAGTGGTCCCTTGTTCCTTTTCTCTTGTTTATCTGAAGTATTATGTCCAGAGCAACATATCCATCTATTTGAACTTGCCTGATCGATCTTTATGAATATGTTGTTTCCGGCTAAATTGTTTCTCTTATTGTTTTGGATATTTGGAGACAAGTACGGGAATGTACTCCACTTAAATGAGAGTGATTGCAGTGTACAAAGAAGACATCAGAAGATTATTGAAGAAGCTCCTGCTGTAAGAACTGCATTTTGATTCTAATCTTGCTTTTCGCGATTTGGAACTGCTAGACTGTAATAAGAGTGCCATTGGTGCAGCCAAATGTTACTAGCGACTTCCGCACCCACTTGGGTCAAGATGCTGTTTCCGCAGCCAAGGTACTCTATCCAAATTGGATAGAAGCTGTATTATATTGTAAAATCCGCACCATTAGATTGATTATATTAGCTTAGCAGGCTGTTTTCTCTCAATGCCCTTTTGCAAGCAAAGGACTACGATCGAGATAACTGTCCAGTTCAGAAAATAGTCTATAAAATATATATATTGTCAGAAGAATCACAAGTTGAATGAAATGGCAAGGTCTGGAACACTTGATTGCGGATAATTGCAAACAGCTACAACAGATTCCTCAGCTTCCACCAAATGTGCATATGCTACGGGCACACTGTTGAAGATCTCTACAAGAATTTCCAGATTTGTCGGGTCTCTCCTCCCACTGCCTTCTGGTTCGTTTATCTTCATGTCGTGAATTATTCCGCAAAGAGGCAAACACGACTGATGTGAACTATTTGTAGACTCTCTCTCTCTCTCTCTCTCTCTCTCTCTCTCTCTCTCCCGCACTCACTAACTTTGAATGCTTAAAATGTGAACTATTTGTATGACAGGAGCCCCCGAAGATGAGATCCGTTGACATTCTCCTTAGTGGGAGAGAGATGCCAGAATGGATTCTCCACTGCAAAGACGGTTCCATATCTTTCATGGTTCCCGGGGACTCGTATGGCAAGTTCTTAGGATTAGCACTCTGTTTTGTTCTTGGCCCAAAGAAAGGAATCGCGGTCTGTGGCGTCCATATTTTTGTCAATGGCCGACATGTGACTTTCTGGTTTAGAGGCTTATTTTCAATGAAATCCGATCGTGTGTGCAGTGCGATCTATAAGAAATGTAAAGAAATGGAGCTTCTGTGAGACGATCGGAACCATTTCCAAGTTTACCTCAGAGTATCAGAAGGAAGATTGAAGAAGTGTGGATTCCGTCCCATATGCGAGCAACGGGAGGATGAGCTGAGGATTGAGCTCCAACACCATCAGCCGATGGAAACAAATTGGCCTTTGGAGGAAAGAGACTCAGAGGAAGACAATTGGATAGACACTGAGGAAGAAGAAAGTTCAAGTGAAACGGATGATGAACTTAACGAAGCAATCGAGGGACTAAAAGAAGAGAACTTATCAAAGTAGATAAGATCTACTTTCGCGTAACAACAGAAGGTTGTTGCCCTGCAGAAAGTGGCTCCTGTCGAAGTGATAAGAACTGGTCAAGGAAGCGATTCTTGAGGAAGTAAATTCGGTCATCTTGATTCCAATGCCTTTTGCTTTTCCCTCTTTCTTCCGTCTCTACTGGAAGTTCTTGAATGTCTGCTCCTTCAATCCAAGTTCAAAATCATTATGAAATACATGTTTCATATCATGCTACTGACCAGGTTGAGGTTGAAGAAACTTCCTTTTTCCCCCTCTTTCTTTTCTTGTTGTGTACGTAATACTGCCGGATGAATGGACATATTGCTACCCACGAAAGTACATTCATGTCCCACCGTGTTATCTTTTCATTCCTTAAAACCCAACCCTACCCGTGATTTCTCTTCATTTTTATATTAATTATTGGAAGGATATTTTTTTGATCGAAATTATTGGAAGGATTTTATTCGTGAGTGCTTTGAAAGTACTTGCTAAACACCCAATCGAAATTTTACGATTTTCAATGTCAAAACGGTTCTTTGTTCGTGCGAAGCCAATATTGATTTGATTATTACGAATGGCATATGCCGAATGAATACCCTCAAAGACACTTGTCACGAAGACCTCCATGGAATTGTCCGGTTGTTCAAAGTTGCAATGCCAGGTCATCTCCACGTCAGATGCAAATCCGGACTCCTCTATCCTCTCAAACGACGTCGCATAAAGGCATCATCCTCACCGCTGCCCGTCCCGACTCCAAAGACAAGACGCCGTTGACTCATCACTTTCTGTTTCCGACTAATGGCGTTGCTGATCCTCCATGGTCGAACCTCCTCGCTCCTCCAGGCGAGGCTCTTCTCCCATTCGCCGGAGGCAGAGTCGGCGAAGCGGCGGGCCTCGGAGTCGAAGCCCGTCGAGAAGATACTGGTGGCGAACGGAGGCGAGATAGTTTGCAGGATCATGAGGACGGTGAGGAGGCTGGGGATTCGAACCGTCGCCGTCTACAGCGACGCCGACGCCGGCGCTCTCCACGTCAGGTCCGCCGACGACGCCGTCCGCATCGGTCCCGCTCCGGCTCGCCTCAGTTACCTCTGCGGAGCGTCCATCATCGACGCCGCGCTTCGTGCCGGTGCTCAGGTGAGGAGGGGTCGAGAACTAACTACCTGCTGTTTGAAACGCGCGTGATCGCTGCGATTTGGAGGATGCGGGATTTGGCATGCGGCATGGCGGCGTGTTTGATTCTGGTTTGTGAGAAATGGTCGTGTTCGCCGGGGCACAGTATTGGAGCTCAGTAATTCCCATTTAGTGTTGCCTCTGTGAACTTTACTGCTACTCTACCACATTGTGAATTTTAGATAGGACGATGAAATTATATGCGCAATCTTGAGCACCGGTGTTAAGAAAGAGCAGTATAAGTGAGTCGGGTTTAAGTAAGTTGTGAACCCATTTAATATTCATATTATTTTGAGCTTTATTGCTCTAAACTCATTTACTGAACATAATTAAGCCCATGTAACAACTTAGCTCCTTTTATATAGATTAAGAAATTGGTGTATAATCCATATCGGCAGGTTCAATGGTGGGAGATAAGTAGATGTCAAGTCAATCGTTGATCACTTCTTGTCCTGTTGTGCATTTGCAAAAGTTCATCATTTCAACTTTGATACGATGTATTCAACATCTTTCCTTATACTACGAGATTTGCTCATTGAATCCCTTTTTATTTTGATCCAAATAATGAAGAAGTTATCAAATCCAATATTTAAGCAAAATAAAGCTCAGTCGTAATTAATTGATAGTAAGAAAGATAGTCGATACCACCTTTTGTAATTGGATCAATTCTTCGACTGGTCATGAAGTAACATTTCGTGCTATCTCAAATAATGTCAAACAAATATTTGAGAATTGCATTTTTTATACAACAATAACTAAAAAGAATATTTTTATGACTCTGGGCAGCTACACGATTTAACATATTATCGGTACACTCCCAACCATTGCGACCCAACCTCCATAAACATCATGCTTCATTAGTCCAAGTCACCGAAATTCGGACCACAACCTCGTTAGCCATTTATGTGGTCATGCTGTTGCTGAGGCCGAGCCATCACCATAATCCTAGGTCGCCGATGCCATGCCACAACCGTCGTTGATTGAACCCTATATGGGCTTGCTTCACATAGGCCTCACAAGCCTATCGCAATTAATTTTGCTAAAATATGGTGCACCTGTTATTATAGTGACGAGGCACTATTAATTTAACTAAAATTAAGTCTCCGCTACCCCAGTTTATGGTATAACATCATATACTGTTCAAATGAGCAATGTTTTTTGGCTCCAAAACAAGCAATTGGTTTCTATAAGCATTACATAAAATATACATATATATGTTGAGACAAAATCATAAGTATAACTTAAAGTATCGAACGTTGTAAGACGTCTTCTATCTGCACGGGCTCATCATTGGCAAGAGATAGTCGTTTATGCATAGTTCCTTTTTTATTATTGCCATTAAGTAAATTTGACTTTAAGTTCTATGTAATTATCGATCGAATTATTTTAATCATTACGTTTTACTTACTCATGTTGTGTGAATTTCGTTATTTGGTGACATTATCTTTGTTCATTAAGGTTTCCTCCGCATTATAAGTAATCTATCTTTTTCAACTCAGGAAAACTATATGCTAAAGCTCATTGACTTCTCGATTGTCAAGGTTTTAAGCTAATATACTAAATATTGATGTACCCTGAAATAACTGAATTAGAAAGTTCTTTAAAAAAAGAAATCTACTCACAAGTTCACATAAAAATAATATGTAGTGATTTGGTTAATTCGTCAACAATATCTTCTAATTATTATATGCATAATGAGTTTAATTAGGTGGTGTAGAAACATGTGTTTTTTTTTTTTATGTCGAAAGAAAATTATATGTATTGCTCAAAGTGGGTACAAGCACCAAGAACTTGCTTCTGCATTTCCACTCCTATTTGATCTTTCTTTAATTTTCCTACAGTTTAGTGGGTCAAATAATTCAGCCCAAAAGTCTACTTCAACTTCAACGAGGGGGTCATCTTCTTCCCGTCTTCTTGCTGCCTTCTTTCCACTCATTTTCTCTCGCTCTAACTTTTTGAGTTTCTCGGCCATCTTTTTCGTACCAGTTTGCATCGAGATTCCCTTTACTACAAGTCTACAGGGTGTTTCCTCATCTTTATCAAGAACAATCAGTGACGTCGCTTTATCTTTTCGTCTTGTCTAAAGTATTCTTCACACGTCTTTTTGGGCAAAAAGTCATCATCATGCGTTTGCTTCGGTGCTCACACTCCTTTGAGCTTCAACATTTCTCGAGATAAGGGATCCACAAGGGAAGATTCCTCTGTGCCTTCTTTCTACCCTCGTGAACGTGAGTGTGATCCAACGGGATGGACCGACAATATCTCGTAATCCTCGAATCAAATCGAGCCGACAGAGCCAACCTTCTTAATCTCTCTTTTTTGTTTTTTTTTTTTTCATTTCTTCTTCCTTTTGTCGATGGTCAGCCACCGACCATGATCGAGTCGGTTGGCTTGCGCCTGGGTGAGGGTGAGCCCCTTGGTGAGGGGATCCCTCACCTAGGCGAGGGTTAGCCTTGCCCAAGTTAAGGCGGCCTCGCCGGGCGTCGCTCAAGTGAAGGTGATGTTGGGCACCAAATCTGGCCTGGGTGAGACCGACCCTTGTCGAGCCTTGCTTGGGTGAGGGCTCTACTCGCCGAGGGTTGCCCTCGCCTGATCGGGCCTTGCCTGTGGCGGGTGACGCTAGCCCGCTTGGCCATCGGTAATGGGAAGAAGAAAGGAAAAAAAAAATTCAAAAAAAATATTAAAATATTATTAAAATTATCAATGCTAGACCGATTGTGCTTACTTAAGACAAGTTGGCATCCACATCGCAAATTCCGACCAAAATCGCCTATGATTAGCCATCGTTGTTGTGGTCATGCTGTTGTCGAGCCCGAGCCATGCATCACCACAATCCTAGGTTGCCGATGCCCTGTCGCGATCATTGTTGATTGAACCCCATGTAGGCTTGCTTTGCATAGGCCCCGCAAGCTTATCACAATTAATTTTGCTAAAATATGGTGCACTTGAAATTATAGTGACGAGGCACTATTACTTTAGCTAAAATTAAGTCGTTGCTCCCATACATGTATATGGTAGAACAACATATACTGTTCAAACCAGCAATTTTTTTTTGGGTCGAAAACAAGCAATTGATTTCTGTAAGTACTACATCAAAAAAAGAAAAAAGTTGAGACAAAATCATAGGTA